CAAGATCAAAGCCTATGTTTTTCCCCCTTTTTAATGCAAGAAGAAGTTTTCTAAACCATTGGATAGTAATTTAGTGAAGAATTTACTTGATAGTATGACTTTTATTACAATATATTAAATACGATAATTGATACATTTTACAATCTTTATGTTTTGAAAAATATATCTTACTTGTTATAGTTACAATTTTTTTTTAAAAAAATTACAAGTATAATTGATATAATAATTTGTTTTATTAGTTGTATAACCTATTATAAAACTTTTTTTCTGGGATTAGAATTTTAATAAAAAAAGATAAAAAAAAAAGGGAAAATTGAAGGTTGGAAATTAGTGGTAGCTAAGCTCAAACCAAATAGCAATGATAGTGAAAAATCAGTGAAAAAATGACTGGAAAAGCGTGACTATGAGAGAGATCCCAGTGACGCTTTCTCTCCAAAAAAGGAAAATAAAATAAATCCAACGGCCCACGTTCGCTCTCTCCCCTTCTTATACTTGCCTCCCCTTTCCTTCTTCTTTCCTCCTCTATTTCAAAAACATTTCCTCACACAGACTCTCTCTCTCTCTCTCTGGAACCCTCGCATTCTCTCCATCAAACACACCCTCGTTTTCCCAAAGGTCATTTTCTTCTCTTCGTTTTCCATTAGATCTGCTGTCCTTTCTCTGTTCTTGCTGTTTTCTTTTCTGGGTTGTTCTTGGTTTTTGTTTTTGTTTTTCTGTGGTTTTGACTTGTTTTATGAATTGGGTTTTCTTTGTTTTGATCGAAAGACAGGAAAGAATCCCGTTAGTTGTAATGGGTTCTCTTGTTTTTTTTTTTTTGCTAGATCTGTTTTATTTTTTTGTTGTTTATTAGTTGATTTATTTGTTCTTGTTTTTTTGGCTGATATGTTCTGATGGTCTTCTAGAATTCAGATTTTAAAGGGGATCTGTGGATGCTTGAAATTTGATTTCATAGACCCTAAAGGATAAAGGTAGAAAAAGATAGAGGAATATTGGATATTTAGAATTTATGAGAAATTAAATTAGAGGAATATTGACTTTTATTGTAATTTTAGTCTAATAAATCCGCTGGTTTCATCAGTTGGCATTTGGGGTTTGATAGAAGGGAAAGGATTGGTGGAATTTCTGTGAAAATCTATGCCTTTTGTTTTATTTAATCAGTTTTGCTTTCTAAGTATGATATATATGTACCAAAAGCTGACACCTTTTTTTGGTTATGTATATCAGGTTGTAGAAGATGGCAGAAGCTGAGGATATCCAGCCACTTGTTTGTGACAATGGAACAGGAATGGTTAAGGTAAATCATTGAAAGCTTATATCTTTGAGTCTAAGTTTGTGTTTTTTTGACATGCTGATATGTTATGTTAATTTTAATGTGTATGCCTTTTATCTGATGTAAGTTGAATGTTAAATGTTAATGCTCTAGGCTGGATTTGCTGGGGATGATGCTCCTCGAGCTGTGTTCCCTAGCATCGTGGGTCGGCCACGTCACACTGGTGTGATGGTTGGCATGGGCCAGAAAGATGCCTATGTTGGTGATGAAGCTCAATCCAAGAGAGGTATCTTGACCTTGAAATACCCTATTGAGCATGGTATTGTGAGCAACTGGGATGACATGGAAAAGATCTGGCATCATACCTTCTACAATGAGCTTCGTGTTGCCCCAGAAGAGCACCCAGTTCTCCTTACTGAGGCTCCTCTCAACCCTAAAGCTAACCGTGAGAAGATGACCCAAATTATGTTTGAGACCTTCAATACTCCTGCTATGTATGTCGCCATTCAGGCTGTGCTCTCACTTTATGCCAGTGGTCGTACAACCGGTATGTATCATTTATAAAATTATGATTGATTCCCTGAGGTTCAACTTTGTTAGAATTGTGCTTAACTGAAACTGATAATAAAACGCTCCCAGATATGCGAAGATGTGTTTGCTGAGTGTATCAGTGTAGTTTGACTTGCAGAAACTGAACTATTGGCTAGGGAATGTTGGTAGGAATGGCATGAGTTTGGTTCTGTTAATAACTTGTTATGAGCACTTTATCAAAAAGTTTCCTATCTGATTAATGTTTCGAGGGCTGGTTAAAGGTTTGATCTGTGACAGTTGGAGTTGAATTCAATTTAACATTTTTTAACATACTTTTGCTATACTGGAGACAGGAAATGTAACACTGCTGCGCTGTTTCTTCTATGTAGGTATTGTTTTGGACTCTGGAGATGGTGTCAGCCACACAGTCCCCATTTATGAGGGTTATGCCCTCCCACATGCCATTCTTCGTCTTGACTTGGCTGGCCGTGACCTCACTGATCACTTGATGAAAATTCTGACTGAGCGTGGGTATTCTTTCACCACCACAGCTGAGCGGGAAATTGTGAGGGACATGAAGGAAAAGCTGGCATACATTGCCCTGGACTATGAGCAGGAGCTAGAGACCTCTAAAACAAGCTCAGCAGTCGAGAAGAGCTATGAGTTGCCTGATGGTCAGGTTATTACAATTGGTGCTGAGCGTTTCAGATGCCCAGAAGTGCTTTTCCAACCATCCATGATTGGTATGGAAGCTGCAGGCATTCACGAGACTACATACAACTCCATCATGAAGTGTGATGTGGATATCAGGAAAGACTTGTATGGTAACATTGTCCTCAGTGGTGGTTCAACCATGTTCCCTGGTATCGCTGACAGAATGAGCAAGGAGATATCTGCACTAGCTCCCAGCAGCATGAAGATCAAGGTGGTTGCCCCACCTGAGAGGAAGTACAGTGTCTGGATTGGAGGCTCAATCTTGGCTTCCCTCAGCACCTTCCAACAAGTAAGTTAATTCGCTTTTCTTCTGCATATACAGTAGTCTAGTTGCTTGCTCATTGTCTTACATTAGCTGATTGTGCTGGCTATTTGGTTGCAGATGTGGATCGCCAAGACAGAGTACGACGAGTCAGGTCCATCAATTGTCCACAGGAAATGCTTCTAAATGTTTTTGATTTGAGAAATAGGGTCAAAGAGAGAAAGTACTGTATCACCATTTTCTGGTGCAGCTGGGAACTTTGCTTTGTTCTAGCTTTGTTATCCATCTATGTTTATTCTCATGTTGGAGTGACGATGAACTTTGAGAAAGCGAGGGGGTTTGATGTGGTCCAATTCTTTAATGGCTATTTAATGTCAGAAGTTTTTGGCTATTTATATCTGATTTCTTTTGCACCTTATAATGCTTACTATTATCTATTTTTGAGGTTTACAGCTATTGAAGATTGAAACTGAACCAATTTGCATTGAATATTCAATCCTTCCCTAACTTTAAATTGAGAAGCCTATTTAGACTTACTGTCACGGTCTATGTTAGGGTTTAACTGTTTTGAAGATGGTGTGAATATTTGAATATCCAATTGTACTTTAGAATAAATGTATTAGTACCTTGGTTGATTTTGATATTTGGAATTACACATTAACTTCTATCGAAGTTTAGGTTTTGTTTTATAAAAGTGATTGAAGATGATATGAATATTTAAATATTTAATTATATTTTAATGTATAATTAATGTGAGATACACGATTCTTCTCTTGACGTAGGATTCATTTTCTCGATATGAGATTCACGATATCAGACACCTTACTTCCATACATTTTGTAGCTAGGGTTGGTGGTTCTGGCTGGAACACCTTATTTGCTTCCAAGATTGGATGGCTTCCAAGAACTGAACTGTCTTTTTCTCTTTATTCCAGGCTTCATTTGGTCTTTCCTTTGTTATCTCTTTGTATGCTCCATACACTTAGCTGACCCATCGAACCCCATTGGGACCTTGCCAAGTACAAATTGACTAGACTTCAGGCAAATCCGAAAATTCAAACTCGAAATCTATTTACATTGGGTGTTTTTTTTTTTTAATTTTTTATTGTTGAATTAAATTATGATAAAATCTTAAAGAAATGAGTGTATTTTGGTCTAAAAAAAAAACTTATTTGAAATTCATAAATGAAAAGCGGGACAATTTGGGAGCAATCTGTATATTGTTTTCTTTTTTTGAGAAATGTGACCCTAAAAAGAAGTGTGAAGGTAAAGCAAAGACATTATGTGTCTGAACAGCAGTGAATTATGATATTGGAAGCTTTTCATCAATGGAGGAAGCCATCATCTGCATGCAAATTGGATAGACTTTATTTTGAATTAAAGTATTTAGAACTTCCCTAATTCTAAAAGGAAAATCATGGTTTGACTTTGCTCATCCTCACCTAATTCTGATATAACTAATCTGATTGTAATAACCTCTGAACAGTGAGAAGATCAAAGTGACAGAAAGGCTACTCAGTACTCGCCACTGTTTGATAGCCTTTTTGGAATTAATTAATTCTATTTAAACCACTCTTTTTCTTTCCCTCTCTCTTTTCAAAGGTATGATTGAATTAAAGTAAATTTGCTGCATTACAATATATTTTTTTTATTGAAAATGTGTTATTTAAAAAAATAATATTACACGTTTGATATATATATATATATATATATATATATATATGTATGTATATGGGTAATGATATGATTAAACACACACTTATTATTATATACAATTTCCTTTTTTTTTTTTTTCTTTTTCCACCCTTACTTTTAAAACTTATTTAGAAAAATGGTCCCAAAATTGGATCACCAATTAATGCTTTAATTACCAGTTTTCTGTTGGTCCTCCAACCAACTCTTTCTAGCTCCTACCACATAAAACATAACAAGATATTAGCTAATCTATTACCTAATTAATTAACATTTTTCTAGATTATAAAGGGGAAAAAGAGGAAAGAAAACAGTTTTTGCAAGCATTTACATAGCATTTGTCAAACTCTTTTCTAACCATTCCAATGCAATTATGTGCATATCCCACCTAAAATTACAATACAACATGTTGGGTGTGCACTTCAATTCAACAATAACATTGCTTTATTGTGAGTTAGGGGTCACATATATAGATTTAAGCCCTCCTTTTCTTTTCTTCTATATTATTAAAAGATATAAGTTCGAATAATCCGAAAATGAGACATGAAATATTTACCTTTAAAATATATATTATTTACACATGGTATTATTATTTCTATTGATTTTTTTTACTTTCAGATCATTTAAAACATCCCTCGTAACATAAACACTAATTAGTAAAAAAACCCAAACTAATTAGCCTATCATTGTTGTCAACATGTACTAAAAGACTCCCTCAAATCCTGTTTTCACATAGTTGAAGAAAGCAATGATTCTGCTGTCTCTTGCTCATCTTCACAGAATGGATGTTGCCTTTCCCTGTCAAATCCATCTCCATCGATTTCCAACTTCTCTGGAGCTAACATGTTTTGATTGTAATCTTGTTCTGTTAGTCCTGCCCCTTCCTTGAATGACAAGTTCTCTTTGAACTCTAAGAAACAGTCCTCTTGAGAACTAGATCCTCCATGGTTGCTAAACGAGTTGAACCTTTGATCCTTTGAAGAGGAAAGGTGGCTGAAGCTCCCAAAACCTTTGATCCCCATTGTTAGTTTTCGAGCCCTTGCTCTCTCTTCTTTGAGAAATAACTCATTTTCAAGTTGCATCAGGATTTTCTCTGATAATTTCCTAACACTCAAGCCCCAATTGAACCTGCATATTTATAAGAACTTAAAGAAGTATTTAACCACTAACAATTTTGATGTAAACATTGATTGATGAATATACCAACCCTTTCTCATCAACATATTGAAAGTTTCCCATTTCCTTGATGGAATCTCTATGATTCTGAAACTCCTCAGCAACCCTTAGAGGACCATGAGTTAACAGATGTTCCAATAAAACCAAAGCATTGTAAGAAGCACGCCAGTTCTTTGCATCAAACTTTGACAATCTGAATTGGATTGAAAGGCAAAACAATATGAGAATTTTACAGTCAGAATTCTGTTAGTGAAAGGGAGAGAAAAGCCAAGAAAATTAACCTCTTGTGCAAAATATCAACAATTCTCCAGTAATCATCAACTTCAAAGGCAGCCCTTGATATTGCACCCATGCTGCATGCATCTGGTGATGGCATGTTTCCATCTGTGGCTTCTTCTGTCAATCTTCAAAATCCAACCAAGAAAAAGACTTGAATCAAACGAAAATGAATAGATATAAAGATATTGAACATGTTTCAGGACTGAAGCTTACAATTCTACTGGTGTAACATTAGTTAAAGCCAATCTAGCAGTCTTGATCTTCTCCTTGAGGAAAAAAGAAGCTTGCCTTTTGAATTCATGGAAAACAAGGCTACCCATCTAGCAGTTTTATGTCTGGAATATGAAGGATTAACAAGCCTGTAAGATAAGGATAAATGTGAAAGAATTTCTGCATGAAGTTTCTTTGGAAATCGTTAGCTAAGCATATTAAGAGTTCAACAACTCCATTACAGCAACAAAAAAACAATGAGTCAGCAACTGCTCTCTGAAAAGAGGCTTTGCATATGTAATTAGCGGATAAAAAAATGCATGGCCATATAAAGACGAAATCAACCTGTTGAAGGGTTGATAAGGAGAAAGTTCGAAGGCAAAATTGGGGTAGGAGGGAAGGCTTTGTCTTAAGGATTCCTGGCCTGGTCCAAAAGAAGTTGCCTTAAAGGATTTGTTTACTGTCAAGCTAATGCTTTGTTCTTGACCAACAAATTGGAGCTACGACTCTTTAAAGTTCAGTTATTACTTAATTTTCTATATGGATATTAAGTTAGTTAATTATGCACCTAATTACCTACTTATTTTAGGTTCTAACTACATATATAGCAACTAATTTTTTTTTATAAATTATTATACATAAATTTTTTGTTTATAAATTATTATACATAGATTAAATTCACTATTTTGACAGATAAGAGACACTAATAGCATAGTTTGACATGTTCAATTAAATGAATTTTAATTAAATTTGTTTCCAAAGCCCAACTCTGAGTACCTAAGTTGGGTGCATCAACTCTTTTATCAACAAATGCAATGCCATCGATATTCATTTAGAATTCATAAATTTACTAATATCTTATTCTGAGATTAAAGTTTTGAGGTTCAAATTTAGGCAGTAAACATTTCTTCCATAAGATAAAAAAGCTAAGAACATAACACCAAGTTAACAATTACTCAACTTGCATGGAAATTAAAGAGACATGGCAAGTATGAACATCTGATCGATAGCTAGGATCCATGTATAAATTTGGGTTTTAACCTCCAAGGTAATTCAGGGTCTTGCATATGCTGTTAGTCACTCAACGAGTTAGACACAATCAGAAGAATGCTCAAGGTAAATTACCCTAATCAAAAGGTTAAACTGCTCCAACAATCACCTTCAAGCACTTATCCAGGAAATAAATTCGTAATTTGATTGTCAAAATGTGATTACAACTGAATAACTGCATGTTCTGGCCGTTCCTTGCACAAGGAAAAAGCTCCGAAAAACTGATTTTCATCTAACTGTCAAAAGTTTTTTCCTAAAGAGTCTATTAAACCTAAGGTTATTAAATCATCTGCATAGCTGCTTCTCTTTGTTTGTCATCACTCAATGGAGCTGAGAGCCGGGCAGATCATGACATCAAGAATTAATTTTCCACATTCGAGTTCTGTATCCTACAGACATGAGGGCAAGCTCCCAAAGCATGTTGGGTATGCTCAATGGATTTACCTTCGATCCAGGAATTTCAGACCAGTTTACGGATATCTCGAGCATTGGGATGCTGAACCATTTGCAAAGGAAAACTAGTTCAACATCAAAACACCACCTGCACATATCATCCATGATGCTACATCACAGGCAATTTCGAAAAAGATTGAGCACAGCAGTGAACAATAGAGTAGGAAATCTTCGCATGCTACAACCAAAGTGCTAGACCTTGAAGAAGTTCATTTAAAACAGACAATATCGGAAGTGTTTTTAAAATGAGAGAAGTTAAAGAGAGGAAATGCAAAATGAAGAGAAATTGTTAAATTTTGTCTGGTTTTGACAGAAGGAGAAAATAAAAGAAACATAAAGAATTATAGGATAAATTGGCAACTTCTATCCAAAATTGGTTGGAAAAGTTTTTAAAAACTGGGGAGGTATGGAAGGATGAAACTAACATGAATAGAAATATCTATTACTGAAAAAATTACTTTAATTCCACTCTTTATTATTTCTTTCCATTCTCAACAACTAAATAAAACTGAATTTTACATAAGCCTTCACCCCCATCCACCCCTTTCTATTGTTTATCTCAATTTCTTAGACACTTATATTCATAAATGGGAAGCAGCAGAAACATACCATAGACTATTCAATGAGAAAAACAAGCATGTACCTGATGACATTATACTAATCTATACATGTAATATATATTTGTTTTGAATTCCTAATGACAGGATATGCAAGTAGTAATACTTAAGGATGGGGTGATCAGTAGTGTCACCAAGGTCAGAATCACCTTTTCAAACGGATGTTAGCAAAAAGCTTCCTTGCTGCAGATCTTGTAAACATCTTAAAACCGCACTGCATTGTAAGAAGAAATACAAATCAGGAAAATGCTAATAGAGAATTCAGTATATATTTCAATTACGTTAGTAATATAGAACATGCGTACTGGTTCATAGACTTTAGGCCAGAAAAATAGAAATCTAAACAATGAAGAAACACACCTGTGTATCACGAATTCCGGGACCAGCAGTCAAGAGAACCACAAGATGGAAACCCTTCATCAAAAAATTGCGGTACCACTTCCTCTGAAACATAGATTGAACAAATTCAACTACAAGAAATGTGCAACTAAGACAAGAAAATCAAAATATGGCCAAACAGCATGCATCATTAGTAAACATAACTGTAGCAAGAGCTTTCTCCTCAAGATGAGCCCGCGAACCAAATGCAACTATTGGAACATCAGATATTCTAAAACTTGTGTCACTGGCTGCTGAATCCTCACGATGAGTATCTTTTCTGGCAACCACATGGATCTGAAGTGTAAAACATCAGATAATCTGTAACACATAGAATATCCTCAACATGGCTAGTCAATCTTTTACAAACCTGATTTTCAAGTTTTTCCAGGTCAGTAACCTTGGTAGCCCCATCTGCATCTAGCATTAGAAGTAATTCACCACGTGAATGAAGCATTCCCTGTTTTACAATGCTTTCACAGAGGTAAAGAGCTTCAATCAATTGTTGTCATGCAGGAGTACGATAGCAGAATACTTTCAGTAGCATCAAAAAATGTTTGTGAATGTCAAAATAAATGGTGGTTAGACTCACTTTTCTTATAGCTTCTCCTTTGCCATGGTTTTTACCAAGAAGGATAACCCTTACATTATCCACACCATACTTCTTTACAAAGTCAAAAGCTACTCTCTTTGTTCCATCCTTACTTCCATCATCAATGATCAACACCTGCTCAGCAACTTGTCCACATAAGAGAGATGCAGACATGCAAAGGCACATTTAAATGGCACACTTTTTTTTAACAAAATGGTTAGTGAGCGTCAAACACACTTAACCTATCTAAATCTAAATTTCATTATAGACTTCTGAATCACAAAACCAATTTAGAAACCCAGTTAATAGAATGAAAAAAATGGTACCTCATAAGAAAATGACTTATCCTTTGCTACCCGTTGTTGAAGATAACTGCAAAGTAACAACATAACATCACATTATACAACATTGAAATCTTTTCTAGGACAACCACGGATATAGTTTAAAACAATTTCAATGAAACATATCTAAGAAACCATATTTTACATCCTGAAGTAAACAAGACAAGGATTAACCAAGTTGCAGGTGGAGAATGGGAAGTTAAAGTATCACTTCTGAAGGAAAACTTTATCATGCTGTAAAAGCTCCATCTATTACTTAAGAAACCTTGCTCTAACCGGTTTGAGATCAAGCATTAACAACAGCCAATAATTTTAGTGGGCTATGACATAATGAATAACAATGATAGCCCATCATCAGTACCAATGCCATGTTACGAAAGCAAATTTACCATATGTGAAAATAAAATCAATCAAATGAATAAACTTGCATCTCAGCATCCACCTTTCTAGTCCTTTTTTGTTTGGTGAGGAACTCAGATTGACATGTTAGCATTTTACCATATCACCAACTACTGAAAATATTCATCCTACACTATGAGACATAAAGCCTATATTTATACCTTCAGCTAAAACACATATGTACATGCATTAAGGGGTTTAACAGAGAATCATTAACTTACTTCATGGTTTCATCAAGTGCTCCAGGAAGCCTGTGCTCTTCATTGAAAGCAGGAAATATCAACGACAAATATTTCTCCGCTGGATCAAAAATGTTAGGACAAGGGACCTGGACAAGAACATGCATCCAGCGAATTCTTAGCACCCGTACCCACTTCCAATATCATTATCCCATAAATAAATAAATTAATATAGAAAAAAAAAACATTTTAAAGGAACCAAATACAAAATGGTATTAGAAGTTCTAGTTCAGATCAATAATTCGCACATAATAAAGTTGAGTTCTTAAACTAGAAACCATCAATTCCTGGCCCTTGTATTATTTCGATTCACTAACTTGCTTCAAATAAAAGGGATAATAAAAATAAGTCCCAATTCTAATAAACTTAGTTAGTAATAACTATTTAGTTATCTAGCTTCTTGAAGTTTTGACTTTTCTATTAATTTTCTGACCAAAATCACAGGATAAAAAAACGAAATTTGACTCTTTTTCTAGGCAACCAAACAAGCGATTATAAAGAAAAATCCCAAAAACCAAAAAAGAAAAAAGAAATGCGATTACCTGTTTCAATGATTTCGGATCCTCAAAGATCGCCGGGGCTTCAACATGACTGCATTAAAAGAATTAAAAAAATTTTAAAAAAATCAAATAACTACATCAAAATGAAAACGGAAAAAAAAAGGAAATTAGGGTCAGTACGCGTTGTTGTGACGTCTTCTGTAAGCTTCAAAAATGATTATAGAAACTAATCCAAAAACAACGATCAAGATTAAGGCAGCCAAATACTCCACAGTCATCAATAGAAACCCCATTTTCGCTTGTTTCTTCTTTCTCCAAGCTTTTGGCTGCCGCTGGCAGTAGTCAAGATTTAATACTAGTGTTCACCTTCGACGAGGACTCAATTTCTGTTTTCTGTGGTGACAAAGTGAAATGAGACGTTTAAATCGCGTAAGGCATCTTTGCCCGTCTAGCTCAGTCGGTAGAGCGCAAGGCTCTTAACCTTGTGGTCGTGGGTTCGAGCCCCACGGTGGGCGAAATTAATTGTTGGGCTTTTCTGCCGTTTTGGTCTGAAGTTGAAACTTCAGCCCAGATTCCCAAGTTCAGAAAAGCCCAAACTGTGGGCCTAGTTTTTTTCACCTAAATTCTTTCTCTTTGGTGTTTTTTTTTTTTAAAATTTTTTAAGTAATAATCTTATAAATTTGAGTATATCAAATTATCACGAAATCTTGACATGATATCACTTGTCATGAATTTACAGTGACTATTAATTAACATTAAAGTCGACCACGTAAATAGAGACATATTTTCATTTAGGCCATTTCTCCTTTTTGGTTGATCTAAGATTAGTACATATATATGATTTTCAATGTTTCCATGTTGCATTATAATGGTGAAGTTGTGCACATAAAAGGCCCTTAATTGAATAAAGTGCCAAGCCTTCTGGTGATTAATTGTCCATATGCATGGTAATGCAGCCAACTCATTGCTGCCGGTAGATCATAACTCTGCTAGAAAGATTCCATGGGGAAAAAAACGTAAAGCAAGCATCTCTATGCTGTCAGCTCATTACCAAGTACACTCCTGGCCTTAAGGGCAAGCTCTCCCCCCCTGTCAAATCCCCAAACACCAAACCCCTAATTACTGTTTCTGTGATCACAAATTTGCTTTCAAAATGGTAATATTTCTTGCCAATCCTTACTGTTTTTAGATTGACAAATGAAGCAACATCATAGATATCAGGGTTTTGTTCTCTTTTAACATATCATAAGTTTGGTAAATTCTGATACCAGATTGTGGGAAACCCACCATGTTTTTTACTTAGTCGTACTTGCTTTAACTAAACCATTAGATAAAGAGGATTAATTGGTGGGTACTTCTTACAGATAGCATGTGACACCCCATGATTCTATTTATGAATCACCCAAATAGGCAAACACTACTAAATCTGAGTGCAGCAATGCAAGTTTTTTAGCTGCAACAAGAAGGAGAGATTTATGCATTACTCATGTGAACAAAAAGGCAGCTGGGATGTGGCAATATGGCCATATGGGTCCTTCTCATGCCATGATTAATCCCACAAGAGCAAATGAGAAGAAAAAAAGAGAAAGAAAGGCTTTTTCTTTTCTTCCACTTTCTCAGACCATAAAGCCATGGCTTGGGTGGAGAGGTTGGTCCTTCACCCTACCCCATTTCTGCTTTCATCATTTCATTCCATACAGCTCTAGTTTTCCCCCATTTTCTCATCATCTTCACCTATTTGTCATGATTTTATTATCATTAAAGCTTACATACAGTGCACCATTAGACTATGTTTACATCCATGAATTAAATTTACCAAATTTTATATAATATTTTCCCTTTCATTTTTCTAGAAAAAGAAACCTTTTAACCTATCAAGAAGGTTTTAATATTATTGTAGCAGCAATACGCATTAAAAAAATAGTACAGCCAGACCTGAGTCCTGCAAAACCAATTTGCAGGCTGAAAGGGCTGAGTGGCAGAGGCCACCGCTTGGTGTTCACGGGTTAAATCTCAGGCACATTTCACAAGAAAAACACCTTGTAAATGGGGGTAAAGACAATTAATATTCGGAACTTGAAGCTTTGAGAAATCAAAACCGTATAATAAAAGTAGCAGATAACTAAAAATATTAATTAAATGTTGTCCACTATCTATTTATGGTTGCTTAAAATCTGCTTTAGGTATAGAGTAAACTAGAAGAAATATGAATTATGATAGTATAGCCTTAATACACTTAATTACCTTACAGTCAGATTGCCCAGAAAGATGTGCTGCTGCTGCTGCTGCAAGTAGGCATCAATATTTACAGAGACTTACTGATTAAACTGTGAAGAGAAGAACTCCAAATTTATTCACACTACAAATTTGTTCAGGGAAAAAGAAAAGAAGATTTAGGAAATTAATAACATGAACAAGGTCTTCAACAAATAAACCAATTACCCCCCACCCATCATAAAAGAAAAATATTTCAAAACTGAAAAGAGAAGAAGAAAATGATCATGATTTGAGAAAGATGATGAGGAAAATTTTATAATTAAAAAGAAAAAGAAAAACATTCTAGTGAGCCATTGCAACTGGAGGGCAGTAGCTAATGCTTCTCTGGTTAGGCATGGCAAGCATAGCGGTATGGTCCAAGAAATCCTTGAGTGCAACCACGGACTGCAAAATTGTTCTGAGATCATCAGCACATGAAAATCCCATGTTCCCTACCTTCCTCACTGCATAAACATAGAAAGTGATGCACCCTTTTCTGAACTTGAACCTAGCCATTTCACACCCAGTTAGCCCCCTTATCAGCTTCTTGTTCACTTCTCCAAGAGGAATTTCTGATGGCCATATCCTATCCACAGCCAGTTTCATGGCCTCTGATTCAAAAACAAATAAAAGAACTTTGGATTTCTTTGTACCAAGGCCAAGAGTCAGTGTGTGCCAAGCATGGTGAGCTAAGATTGTGAAGTTTGTAGGCAAGAAAGCTGTTGTTGAAGGGAAAGGGAGCTTGTTGCTGTTGGATTTGTTTATTGGTGGGAAATCCAGCAGCTTCAGGAGCTCAAGAGGCCTTGCTCTCCTGATTGTGAATGACTTTACAATGAACTGCCCACCAAACCTTAGACCTTTTACTTCAGAGCTTGGCTTGAAAGAAAAATCTGATGCTGGTTTGGTGGTCTGGTCATTGGGGTGTTGATGCTTCTGCTTCTTGTTCTTCTTATTCTTTTCCTTCTCTTCCATTGTGCTTGTAAGTTTCCTTTTTGGAAATGGTGGTGGTTAAGGAAGGTCTTGCTTCTGTATGTGTGCGTGTAACTGTGATAACAAAACCAATCTAGAGCTTTTGGTGGTGTGCAGTTGTTTGTTGGCTTCTTTGTCACTAGCTTGCTTTTGTTTAAGAGATTTGGAGTCAAAAAGAGGGCTATACTACTTTGCATAAATTAGATCATCTTTTTTTTTTATTAAATATAATAATATGTTATCATTTTCAATGTTTGTTATAGATGGCATTCTTCATAATATTTTAAGGGTGTGATGAAACTGTTAACAACTTAGCATAGTTTTTAATAATTTTTTAATTTATTTTGTCATTTTTATAATCTGTTAATTCATGTCAATCTATTACTTAAAGTGGGTTTTTGAGATGGGAGTAGGCTAGAGTTATTGAGTACCCCCATATATTTGATGTACTAGCTCATGATGCTGACACTTCTTTTTCATCATCTTTCCATGTAGGAGAGCACCTTTATAAATGATGCCATGCCCTTATACCAATTCACATGATATTCTTTGCACATACATATGGCATATAATCAATTCATTGAAAGTACATCTATGATTATATATCAATAACTTTCCTTGATAATTAAGTTTCAAGTATTTTTTTTAATTAAAAAAATGGAGATTCGAAATTAAGATCTCGATTTTGAGTTTGTAAATTAACCTTGTGGTTAATTTAATTTACCAATTAGGCAATTTAATTCTTCAAGTTTGAGGAACACAACATGTGCTCCTTGAAAATCTTGAGAAAGGCCTAATCAATGAAATAATCAAACCCCTTAATATTCTTCATAAGCTCACCAATTGAGGATTTGGGACCACATTAGGGTGATTTAGTTACAATTAGCAAAATAAAACCATGCATGAGAATTTGCATGCATAATAGTAATAATTACATCCATTTGCTAAACTACTTCCAACAAATTTGCTAATTAAACTTTATAATTTCATGGGATGAATGCAAATGCTTCAACCAAGCAAAGATGATATTCATTTCATAGGTTTGTTAATGACATTTGTTGAAAGAAAATTTGGGGGAAAAGAAAAGAAAAGGAAAATGGAAAAGAAGTGGTTACATTTGATTCTATCTGTTATTGGGAGAGATAAGGTTGGCTCACCTCATTTGACAACCAATAAGTCATCCCATTAAAGTTGTTTCCTTCCAAAGGCAACCCCATTGCCTTTAATCATTCATATGAAAGAAAAATTTTCAGGGGGTCTTGAGAAGACCAACCAAAAGCAACAAAACCTGCTGCAGAGAGGGGCCACCCCAAGGGGAGCCTAATAAACTATCCTGCCAGGTTCCCTGTCTCCTCCAATTAATTCATCATCATCAATTAACCATATTCTTCCAAACTTTTAATTTATGGTTTGAAATTCAGGGTTTACACATAGATTCTTTAGACCAAAGCATTTCCCTTTCATTGTAATTACCAGCACCAGAAATTGATAGGCAAGTAGGTAGCAAAGAGCCAAAGAAGTTCCTAATAAAGTTAGTCTGATCAGATTGATTATTATGCAAATTTTTGCTTTGATTATGTCTGCATCTGCTTGACTGAGAAGTCTACCAAACAATGATCGCTGTGACTAATCATGCTTTTGGACTAAGCATTGACAGGGACATACCCAGATTTTCGCCTTTCTGGTTCTCTATATATATAAATGTTATGTGCCTTTTGTGTTATAACCACCGACACTAGTCCCCTTGGGGAGACATTAGGACCTGTAAGAACACTTTGAATTGGTACCATAGCTATTTGATTAAGGGCAAATATCATATTAAAGTGAAGAAAGAACCCCATTATTCAATTTTTTTTCATCCCTCAATCAAATTTGTTACAAAAACTGATACAAAATTTCAACTAAAATCAAAGATATGATCAAAACAGATCATACAGATGAGAGTCTTATAAAATTCTATTGGCATAAACACGTCTAAAAGTTAAATTTGCATCATAAACTATATTGTAACATTGTGGTTATTCAAGTTATTTGCAAAAGAAATTTGACCTGCACCAAATTAAAGGTAATTTGAAGAAGGGAAGGGAATAGGTTGGCTGTAGTTCTCCAACATATATTAGGTTCTGCATGATTATCATTGCCCCATCCTTTTGTTTTCTTCACAGACTTACTTCAATTTCAATTCTTTCCTTTATACAAACCCCATTCTTTTGGGCAACTCAAAACTTTACAACTGTTGTGGCTATTGATGCAGCGGCTTTGAGGTGGACTTATCCAACGAATGGTGGGCCAATTTCCAAAGTATGAATTCAATATACTTGAAAAAGATGTTTATTATTTAGTCACAATGGAAAGGTTGATGGGTTTTTTTTTTCCAATAATTAACTTTAAATGTTTCATCTTTTTCGTAACTTTATCTATTATTTAGTGATTTCCGAACATTCAGTTCAATTCTGTAATTTAGAATTATTGAAATATTAGATACTTAATTATTGAAATTTCAAAATATTATTAAAATATTAGATACTTATAATTATCGAATTATCATAAATTCAGAAAGTCGAAATCAACATAATAATATGAAAGAGTATAAAATATAAATTAATATGAAATGACTCGATTTTTCTAATGTGATTCAATCTCAAAGTTAAGACAAATGATCAATTATCTTACAAAAATTTAAATTAACACAAAATCATACATATATATATTATACTCAAATATTTAATTTATTAATTTATACATAATTATTTATTTAAAAAATAATATTCCAATTCTCGTTCTCTTAATATATATATATATATATATATAGATATATATATTCTCTGATTCTGTCCTTTTGTAGTGACGAGCATTTTGGAATAATAATGGGAGAACAGATCACGGCTGCTTGTATAATAACGTAAGAAAACAATAAAGATGAAAGCTATTTGCTGTTCCAAGATTCTTTCTCTCTCAGGATTTTGAGCTGAGCCTGGCAGGCCAATTTAGCATTTCGATATGCCACCAGGGCTGCAACTGCAGGGCCCCTCAGAGTTTGATTTTCCAACAGGTTGATGTGAATGTTTTTGGTTCTCCCAAAGGGGGCTGTAGTTTGGCGTAAAAGGTTAGGAAATGGGCATTGTTTGTCTGCTAATATAGTCAAAAGTGGGGGAACAAAACTACGATTAATAAGTACATATTCATATGTTTATAGCATTCAAATTTCAAAAATGAAGGAACTGTGTATGCAGCAACGGTTGCTGAAAAGAAGAAAACGCCAATGAAATTTGGTAAAGTCCATTTGAAGAAGGAAAAGTGCTATCATCATGGCTTGATTGGCTCACTCTGGCCTTCAGCTTATATATGCAAGTATTGTTCAGCTTTAGACTCCATGCTTAACAAACCCTGTTCTTTGTTTTGAAAAATGAGATTGGAGAACTTAGTCAAGAGCAATCACATTCGGAAAACAAGTTCTGATTTTGGCTCGATGTTAAATACATGTATCTTCAAATTTGAAATCAAATTAACAAAAAAATCTTTCCTCAAAAAATTGTGCATTGATCATCATTTGATCATGCCTAAGACACAAAAATCCTGGCAAATTTACATTCTTTTTCACACCACAATTGGATCATCCTGGTTTGACATTTCAAACTATAATCTTGTCAATGTTCAATAGGGGACATCGGGTCTTTTACTGTTCTTAGGTTTTACCAGGCCCCAAAATATTTTGTTGATATGTAAACAAGAACAGGCCTTTACATGTTCAAAGGCCCAGCTTAAACTTCAAATTTCTTCTTCGTAATCAATTTAAAATTTCTTTCGTAGCAATAAATGATACATAATGATCATCCGTCGAAGATGTAATAAATTTTTTTCTCTTGCAAATTGCAATTGTTTTTCAGTGGCACTCTGGAATTACAGTTCCATCAACTGTTTTCAAGCAATTGTTTAGACTTTTATCTATTTTTTCCACAATCCAAACCATGTAGAATAAATTAAATTATTGGAAATTGATGTTCACGTTTGATACTGCAATTGCAGCATACAACAAGGCATCAAAGAAAGTAAAAGAACTAAACTACACAGTAATTTGTATGAGGGAATTTCTCAAGCTTTTTCCTCCAAAAGGCACACTCCCCTTTAGCCAACCTCCACTCAATAACTAATCTTTCCTTATCCAATTCTTCAAGGGTAGTGGCAGTTGCCATAACCTGCACCACAAATAAATGCCCGAACAAAGAAAATTAAACAATGTCTTCGATTTGTAATTCTTTTTTGAGTCTCAATTCTAAATTTTTGCTTACTTGGATCGGCAGTGGTGATTTGAGCAGTGCCAGCAAAATGACAGGCGTTATCAGCTTGACCTTTGTTTCGATAGTAAGAATTCATGGCAAATGTTGCACGAGACCTGACACTGCCTGGTTGAGCGCAAGGTCCCCCAGGTTGAATTGGACTGCAATTAGCTCCTTGGCTACATGCATAATCTAGGTTTGATTGCAGCTGAGCATCGGTGACTCCAGGTTTCGGTACACAGTACTTCTTACTTGATGGTGCCCGTGTTGCTGGTCCTGGCATTGGCTGTGTCATATTTGACACAAGGAGGAAAGAAAAATGAATGAAACCAAACAGAAATTCATATTTGATACAGGCCCAAGTTTTAGTAATAATCAAACCTGGCCATTGCGCAAAACTCCAGCATTGTAAACAGGGGTGAAATCTGGTCTAAATAAACCCCAATTCCTCTCAGCGAGAGGACCTGGTTTCTGATTCTCATTGAACAATGCGAAAATGTAAGTCTCAAACCTCCTGTTTGGCATCAAAGGTGTGCCATTTCCTGAAAGGATTTCCCTAACCAAATTCCCATTGTAAGAAAGTGCATTACCAATATTAGCAACCAGGTTTCCTCCATCACCCTGGGAAGGCCAACCGGTTTCGCCAATGACAATGTCAACATCTCCACAGCCAATGGCACTCATGGCCGAATAGGTCTTGTCCAAGAGAGCATCAAGGGCATTGGTGTATGTTTTCCCACTGTGTTTATCAAATAAACCAGGATTTCTCTTGAAAAGAGCATAGTCCAATTTGTTCCCCATCGCATTCAACTCGAAGTAAGGGTAAGGGTTGATCATGAAAGGTGATTTTGTTCTTCGATGGAATAGTAATAAAGGTGCAAAGAAGCTCTTCGCATAATCCTGCCTAAACCGAGCCAAACTTGGCAGAGAGTCACCATTGAATATGTTAAGAGCATGAGCTGTTGTGACCTGATAAACAATGAAGAAGAAGAAGAAGAAGAATGCATTCGAATTCATCAAAATTAACCAATATGTAAAAGAAATGTAAGATTCAAACACAACATAAAGCATATATCGAACCTTAATACCCCGAATTCCAGCTTTAGCCAAAGCAAGATGAAGAGATTTCATTGCTGGCACAAGATTGTTAATTTGATCCTGAACGTTAAAAAGCAAAACTTCGTTGCCAACAGAAATATACTTGATCTTCGTCTGTGGATAAAAAGGGCGAATATGGTTATTCACCCACCTCCTCGCCGCTTGAACATTGGTTAAAGAAGGGATTTCTCCATTGGCAACCGTGACCGTGACCGAAATACCAGTGTTTGCAAAAGCTCTAAGGACATCAGGGTTTGTATCAAAGATCTTTACACTGTCAAAAATAGTTTTGGTCTTGATGAAGTTGGCAACTTCGTAAGGTGACGGAAGGTTGTCCGCTATCATGCCATAGTTTACGCCGAGGGCGGCGGCAGAGGTGAAGAGGTGAAGGAAGGTGGCGAGGAGGAGGATTCCCATGGTTGCAAAAAGATGTTCAATCGTTTTGACTATTCTTCTCTTTTGTGAGGTTAATATATAGTAGAAAGAAGAAGGAAAATGTAAGTTTTATGTTCAATATTTTGACAGATGGAAACAGTGTTAAAACAAAGATCTCCCTGATTTTGGAATTGTTCCAAATTTAGCTTCTCCTTCTACCTTTTTTAACCCCATATTAATTGGTTATCATGAATTCTTCGCAATTTTGTTAAAACCCATATTAGATTTTGCTCATTAGCGAGTATTTGATTTGCTGTCTTATTGTAATTCCAATTATATAGTTCAGAATTAAGAACCCAATTAGCATTAACCATGGGAGAAGAGGTGTGCCAAGGCTGATGCAATTTTACAAGCATTTTGCTTATACGATTCCAATTTCCAATTTGAGTTTGACACGATCACGCATATTCATGGCGTCCTGATACAGTCAAACATGGCAACTTCCAGGACTTTGCACCTGAAACAGATAAAGGTCCAAAACAGGCAGAAAGGTAAAACTGTAGAACCCGGCGCATGCAGGGGGGTGCCAACTTGTTATTTGGCCAAGTGGAAAGCTTTTGACGTTTAAAGGAAAGTGTGGCAGCTTTATGGATTGTGAGAAAACTTGCATTCCCATTGTCTTAATAACTTTAATTAACTTATTTGTCATTGAGATTAAGAAAACAAGAAATTTGTTTTCTTTATTTTTTTTTTGCAAAAAAGAAAGCTTTATTATAAGGCTTAAAGACTAAATATGTTAATTTTTTTTTTTGCAAAATCAAACTGTGGACTTAAATTATTTATTTTGTATTATAAATTTCAACTATGATAAGTCTTAGATTAGTATAAATTTATTAGAATAAAGTCTAACAATTGATGTCAAAACTTTGAGATTTATAATCTTAAAGAATTATATATAGATTACATTATTCATGATTGCATGTTAAGGTATTGTGTGGTTTTTGAATTTGTGTAATTACATTGTTAAAACTCATAATTCTATTTATACAATGTAATTAAATCATGAACATGCTTAATTGGTAGTACATTATTGATTATATGATTCTTAGGTCAAATCATATCTATGTAATTGAATGAAATCGTATTTGAAAATTTTAGTTTTTTCTAAAAATGCATAGATTTTAACAATTTTAAATCAAGAATAATTGGATTTTATGCAATTTTTATTACCTTAGTTATTGTTTTTCCTTTTTCATGTATGAAATTGACTACGTTTAAACAAAGTTTTGCATTTTGATCCCAAAAATATAAACAATAAAATTTCAAAGCAAAATTAAAATATGTAACATGTATAGATAAGATCTAGAATATCTTTTACTTTTTTAATGAAAATAAGTTAAATTATTTGCCTCATACTAATTTATCTCATCTAGCCCACAATTTTAAAGTCCTAACTTGATTAGAGATTTTAAAGTCTTAACTTGTTTTCACTAAAAAATTTAATTCAATTTAGTCAAAATTAAGAGAGTGGGGAATCTATTATCCTTAAATGTACAAACTAATGAACAATTGGAACTCATGCATAAAGGTGGACCAATTGTGAGCAATTATCCTCTACAACATATTTTTGTACAATCCAAAAATTTCTACATAGTCACTCTATCATCATATTTGAAATCAAATAATTGAAAATTAATAAAATTGTCAAATAACAATATTTAGAGAATTTAAGTACAATTCAAAGCCAAGTATTCTTCACACACTATTTTTCTTTCCTTCTTCCTTCCTTGCTTCCTTTTTGTTTTGTTTTGTTTTGTTTTTTCGTAAAAGTAAGATGTTGAAACGATTTCATCCTGTAAAAGATGACCATCTTTTACGATCAGATTCAGAGACGGAATCCGATGATAATAATTTAGATGATCATGCTCACGGCGAGAATCTATATCGGAAAAGAAATAATAGAGAAAAAACCATTGAAAAGCAATGCAAGAATTCAAATGAGAAGGAAATTACTCTTGATAATGGAAAAAACAGTCAAGATAGGGAAGAAGGATTCAAGGAAGAGCCAGGTTGATCCAGACATACTAAGTTCATTTCAAATATGTGGATTGGTCTTTATTTTAATTATATAATTTATTTTCTGCATAAATTCTTCTTTACCTCCATTAATGATTATGATCACATTTTTCATTCTTTTTCTATGAATTAATTAAGTTTTCTGTCATTGTTGTAATGCAGAAAATATAGTGATGAAAGATGCAAAAGAATATCAAGAATACATGAAGCAGCTCCCTGTGCCTGATGCTCTTGAATCATCATCATCATCATCGGTACTTCCTTTCATTACATGGCAAGGCTTAGCAGAATCAATGAAGCACAAGTATGAGCAACCACTACATTACCTCACTCACATCCTCTTGAAACAATGGGATGAATCAAGAGACAGCACCAAGAATAATGAACCAATCAAGCCTATTGGCAATGTCATTCATCCTAGTAAGGCTGAATCCACTATCTGGGTTGCTGAAGAATTCAACAGGCAGTTTGCTTCCCATCACTACCTTGCTAAGCTCTGGCTTTCTGACCCAAACTACCATGAATTTGTTGATACAATCATCCCCAAGCATTGAAATCTCAACTTGCAAACATGCAATTCAATAAAATCTCATGATACATTGCTGGTTCAATATGTGGTTAATTTGTTTTTTTTTTAATGTTCAATTCAATTTTGTTTGTGCGACACAATTGGCTTCGTCCATAAATTCTGACCTGACACAATTCGTTCACTGCAATTGTTTTCTTTTCCTCTTTTATTATTAATTTATTGACAGAATCAGATATTAAAAAAAAATTTAATGGACAATTAAAGAAAAAAGTGCAAAAGAAAGTAAGTGAGAAATAGGCAAAATCCAATTTAAAACCTTATACTAATTCTTGGAAGAATACAGACAATGCCAGCTCTATTTTAAAGGCCAATTAGATACCTTCATTTTTTTTTCTTTAAAAGGGCAAAATGCCAAATATGACTGACCATTCAATTTTTAACAGCTCAAGATACCATAAATGCAAAGTTTTGAGTTTATTCCCTGAATTAATTATATGCTAAGTATCCTTTGAATAAACAAATATTTGGTAAGTATATGGCAAAAATAAGGTAAAATGAAAGCCTGCCATTGCTTGTCAAATTGAGCAGTTACACAGTCAATGTTGACTCGGGAATCGTAGCTAATATCAGACAACGAAAATCCATTTGGATTTTTTTTTTTGCATGTGTGGCAGTATTAATGTTTCTCTATTTGCGCAACAACCACCACATTTTGGTTAATTGCATACCACCCCTTGAATAATGGATATTGTTATTAAATCCCTAGATTTTACAGTGCTTTTTTTTCTATGACCCTCTCCTTAAAACATCCTTTTCTTAAATCCTTACGCCATGTCCTAAATTTTGATTGTTAGATATTATATATAAATAGCATATACTTTCTTTGATTTCGTTGAGATTTTAGAATGTTTTTAAATTAGAGAATATCAAAATTTTTCAATAACGTGTTTTATATGTAGTTTTAATTATCACTTTTTTATGTTGAGTGACGTAATGCTTAAACTTTACATATCAATCAAAGAAAAACATAACGGCCGACATATATTCTCTTTACTTACTCCTAAGTTACTTTCAAAACAGTAAGTTCAGTTTTAATATTTATGTTTTATAATTAATAAATATATTATCACCTTTCAAAAAACACTTATATATATTATGCTTATTTAGATTAATCTGTACAATGGCGAGGGAAAATTTAAAAATTAAAACAAGAAGAACATTCCTAATAAGTTATTCAATTAATTAGCCCTTGAAATCTATACAAACCGATAAGTATAAAACTTTTATTTTCACTTTTATATTTTTTTTTAAAAAAAGAAAACAAATAAAGATTAAAACTAATCAATTATTAAAAAGTTAGCTCACGGTCACAATTTAACTAATATTAATTATATGATTTTATTTTTTTTCTTGATGTTAGAGTCAAAACCCTAAAATCAAAAACACGTGTCAACAAAACAAGTCTGCTAGCAAATGCTATATATCTTTTCATGCAATGTACGTAACTTCATTCACTTGTCACATGCATGTTCATCTTTAAAATAATAATTTATATACTTGACATATTAACCCGAAACAAACTTCTAAAACATCTTGTTATTTATCAAACAAAAAAAAAACTTGCTCAATCAATTGCTAAATACATAGGGCAAATAATTCTATAAATTAGAATTATGTCCAAGGGCAAAATTGAAAAGAAATTAAATACTCCGGGGACTAATATGAAATACTACAAAATATAGCATTCTCGTAGCGCCTATATATAGTGCAATGAATTAGGTGGAAAACAACCACCAAAGGTGAAAAACTATAGTATTAAGCTTTCAATCTCTTGCAGTCATGGCTAAGGCTAGGGGGAGACCGAGACGCACGTCAAGCTCAAGCAGCCATGCCAGGCAGTGGTCGCCGCTGACGCTAGCCACCTTGGGGAATATAAGAGGACGTCCTCGTCAGAAGGGCCATAGGAGGAAACCAGGGACCACCGTCACTTACCGTGATCAATCCGATCATGGCTTTGGTTGGCTGCTACCTGGTTGGGTCGCTGAGGAGCGCCGCATGCTTACCGGCAGGCTTTATACGGTAAAAATTCACTATCATACGCACAATATGTACATACATCTCTCTCTTCATTTTGAACTAAAGTTTCCATTGCTAATATCTTTTTCGTTATTGATATATTTGATTAACCCTTAATATTGTGTGTTTTCAAATCCTTTTTATCTCTGATATATCTGACAAACTGTTTTGTGCAGCAATATTTTTAGATATAATCATATCGATTAATTAAATTAATAAAAGATATGCATATTTGGTTCAGTGATAACAACATACTTCGTTTGATGGTTGCAGTATTATTATGATCCATGGGGACGTCTCTACAACACCAAACGTGAAGTCCTGTATAGGTGGGCAGTGTGCGGCCTGGTTCTCGTTGAGTGATCAAATGATGGGAAAGGGTGAAACCATTGATTCACAAAAGAAGATTCATCTCTCCTTTTCTTGCTTATTTTCTGATCTTTATGCCTAATAAATTTGTGGGTTAATGTTTTGCAGGGTTCATTCGGAAGCAGCTGAAGATGATAGGAGAAGTTATTGGTACACATATAGAGCTAGATGACTCTCTTGTACCATTGTTGTTTACTTTGGCTGTGTAAAACATATATTGTGCCTTGGAAGAATAGGTGTAAATAAAATGAATGAACCTATTTTTAGC